ACCTCATGACGCTGCTACAATATCACGGCCTAGTCCCTATGCTGTGCCTTTTAGCCCTGTGGCTTTATTCGTTCCGTAACTGGAAGCTGTATCTGCCCCTCTCCTTCACCTGGTTGGCCATCCCTCCCACCTCCCCCCAGAGATTTGTTTTCTTGATGGCTGCCTTTTTCTACCCACCAAACCCTGAGCAGGGACGTGGCTCCTCACAGCCACATCCTAAACCTACCAGAACAGTCAGCTTTCATTAGAAGTGTGTTGAGTGCACTCACAATCTGATTTACATTTTAAACAGATCAACTCTGGGGACAACAGATTTAGGGGAGTCAAGAATCAAAATGAATAAACCCATGAGGGGGCTTTCACAGAGGCCCAGAGGAAGGACAAATGTGGGAGAAGTATGAGGGTGAGAACTAGCACCGTGGTGGTTACAGAACCGGGTAACGAATGGCCCTTGGTGTTAGAAAATTCGCATGGCACAACTGTCCCCAAAGTAATGATGGGACAATTGTTTTCTTCAGGTGGGGCCATGAACTCATAAAAAATAGATATTTTTAAAAGCTGCTGAATTGAGCAACTATTCTGTACTCCTATGTTCTCAAGCTCAAGTTGATAAACTGATGTAATGTGACAAAATCTATTAACACTAAAACAATGCACATGCCCCTTGACCTAAAAATTTTCATTGCTAGGAATTTATCATTCGTATATACTCACAAAAGTATGTCAAAATATACTGCAGGGATATCCACCTTGTCATTGCTTATGATATCCCCAAACTGGAAACAACATGAACACCTGTCAACAGGAAACTGCTTAGAAAAACTCAAGAAAAAAATTTTACACAGCTATTAAATAAAATGAGGAAAGCGCTTTAAGGTATATTGTATGCACTTGACACTCATGTAACATTGTGTGTCAACTATAGTTCAATTTAAAAAAGAAATATTGTGTATTTAGAAATATCCTATTTGCGGTAAAACAGACACACACAACATTGATATTGATACAATATGTGATGTACAGAGAAAAAAAGGGAGAGAGAAATATTGATGTAAACAGAAAAGTTTTCTTTTCTGAAGGATATAAAACACACAAAGAGTGGTTATCCTTTGAAGAGAGAAGGAAACTGGGAGTGGCAGAGAATCTTACTTTCGCACATACCTTTCTGAATTATTTGATTTTTTTGAACGGTGAACGTGTATTTTAATTTTTAAAACACACAATCATCATCTCTTTGAGACAACGAACAGAATAAATAAGAATGTACCTGATGTATCATTACTCGTTTTCTGATTTTATGGACAGTAGCTCCAATGACTCATTTATATACACTCCATGAACGAACACACATACATGACAGGCATGCATGCAGATGAAAATATATGTGAACGCTGTGAAATGCAGTGGGACAAATGCCTTTGGTTAGAACACAGTAGATACACAGCCCATATCCCGAAGTGACCGCCTTCCAGGGTAGCGCCGATGCGCAATCTGTGACTAAACAATCTGAAAGCAGTTTTCGACAATGCTTGTTGCCATCCTGATTGCCAGCGCTTCAATGACCATGTTTTTGTCCTCAAAAAGAGACACGAACTGGTCCATTGCTTAAGGAAGTCTCTTTTTAGCCTCTTTCAGCTGTGCTGCCATTTAATGGGAAATGATGTTTCCTTCCATTCCCACAGTGCAATCCATTCCTTCAACAAAGCTCTCTGTTGGCTCCTATGGAAAAGGTACCACTCAAAAGAAGATGGATACCACTTTCTTTTCTATGACAGAATTTATTTTATTTATTTTACTTATGCTCCAGGGGCTTAGATGGTAAAACAAAATTTATGTAGGGAAAGGGAAATACAACCTCATATATTCTTAGGAAAAGCAGTCTATGTTGCAGGTTTTGTAAAAAACAAAACAAACCAAACCTAAAACAACAACAAACTACATTATATTCAAATAGCTCTTTCAGTGGCAGTTAATTATCTTGCCTTGACTTCAATCACCTACCTAGTCTGCACAAGGACTCAATCTCTCTCAGTGTTACCAAAAGGGGGGGGGGGGCCTATGTTTTCAGAGTTCACTATATCTGCCTAAACTATTTCTAACCTCAGGAATGTAAAATGTTTACCACATCCACTTTTTCTTTTCAGTTGTAAATGTATTTCTAAAGCAAATATTCTAATTACCATTTACTGGGAAGTCAGAGAATAGTTGGGTATTTTGCAAGTCAATTCAGGAGAAAAATAGAAAAACTGGTTAAGTCCAATTTCGGGGAGGTTAAACAGCAGGCCCAAGCACACAGACAGAGCCCCTCACCAAGCACCCCCTGGGTCCCACATTGTCATGTTAACGACAGCAAACCAAAGCCCCGAGGGCAGGAGAAGGTAGATTACCAGGCCTCACTAAAACCAGGACGGTGGTCCTCTTTATCTCTTTTTAAAGACCCACCTGCAGGGACACATACCAAGTTCTAAAGTATTAGGTCACTCCAGGTCGTTTGCGTTTTTCTACCCAACGACGACGAGGAGAAACAGCAAATCTTTATTACTGAAAAGCGCCATGCTGAAACAAAATCACATAAACCACCCAGAAATGCGAAAGCTGTGATGCCCCAACGAGGACGGATCTTGAACTGCTGAATGATTTCTGACCAGGGAGGGGTGGGGGAAGGTGAGCAAGCCCTGAGGAGAGACATTCCCCAGAAACAAAACCTGAGGCTGGGGGCTGGGATATGATAGGGCAGGACCCCGCAGATGGAGCGGAGAGGAGCTCTGCTGAGTGAGGTCTAGACTCAGTCTTAGCCAATGTCGCCGATGACACCAGTGACCTGTGGGAAGGAGGGGACTGCCAACTCACTCTCCGGCACAGAAATCAAGTTTCCAGAAGCTCAAAGTGTTAGTGACTTCACTTGGTAATTACCAATACCCCAAAAGCGGCGCTTTGTAAGGCGGCACCAAGCCCTGTGGAATGCCTCTGAACTAGATTAAACCACCAGGCTAGTAATTAAACCAACTTTATATGGGAGAGGTCTCTTGCTCAAACTTGAGCAGTCCTGCTCATTTCAGGAGAACAACTGTAGCACAAAAGTGGAAACGAGCCACTTCTGAGCCTCAGTGTCAGCACAGATACCATCCTCAGCAGCCTCTGCTCTCCTAACTGCGAAATCGGGAGCCCAGCTTCTTGGCAGGGGTGGGACGGGGATTTCGGTTTTGCAATGCAGCGAAGATGCAAAGGGCTCTCAGCCTTGTATCATTTGCAGGTAGTTGAACAGTCTCCGTTTCTGTGTCAGCAAACAAGTTTTTACCATTTTATCTTTTGAGACATTTCGATAGCAATCATTGCCATAGCACCTAAGTGCTTTTGCACCAGACAGCCCGCTGAAAGACTGCTTGGCATCTTGTCAGAATGACATGCTGCCACATCGTGTTACAGTCTGCAAAGAGCCTAAAAATTTAGAAGAGAAAATGATTTTTTTTCAGATTTATCAATGCTATGCTTTGTGACAATACGGCTACTTCCTGGGCAGCTGGATAATAACTTGGTAGACGAAACAGCTCTAACAGTGTTTTCCACGGCGCAATCACACACGAAGCATTTGGAGTGCTACTTAAAGAACTGGCAGATTTATTCCTAAACACCACATATGTCTAAACATAAGGCAAGTTTTTTCCCCCTAGAACTAACCCCAGAAAAGAAGGGGTCGCATGATATTCAATTCTAACTAAGTCTCAGGTCACGGGGTACTTTTCCAATCACTTCACCTTGACACGTACAGAGTAGCATTTGGGGAAGGGCAGATTTGCTTGAAACAACGTCAACTGTTACCAACACTGGATGCATGCCAAGATCACCTGCAAACCTTGAGTTTTAAAAAAAGGGTGAAAAAGTCTTCCCAGGGTAGGATATCACAAATGCTGTGTTGGATGTCAAAACCCAGCACTGAAAGTTCACGCTCAGAAGCACTATCGGTTGTCACAATATGGGACCAGGTATGTCCACTCAGGGTGAACTGGGAATAGGAAAAAAGAAACAACTGCCCTAATGTGATCTGTCTGTGGGATAACATTTCCAGGGACAACACTGCACACGGAGTCCAAAAGTGCTTCACCTTGCCAATGTGGGATACAAATGAACACAAGGTACTCCACAAGACCATGTGAATGGCTGATTCAGAAAGTGGTGACCAAAACATTGACTCAAAATTCTTACGAAGAGTTTCAGCAGCATACTTCTTGACATGTACGTACAGAAAAGAGTAATACCAATTTTATAAGACAGGATTTTGTCTATTTACGGGGAAATAAATGAAAACTACTTTAGGTAAACATCTGACTTCAGGTTTACTTATTCCGAAAGGTTTACTTAAGTCAAGTTGGCCATGAAAAAGATTTTTTGAACCTTCTTATTGAAAAATGGTAAACACTTTATGTCTGATAAAGCCTTATAGCTGGGCATATATGGAGCTAATTCTAATACATTCCAATCCAACTTTTTGGTAGAGGAATGTGACTTAACAAATTTCAAGAATTTTCTGAAAGCCTGGTTTTGCAATTATTCTGAAAAACTGTTTTCTAAATGAAAAATACATACGGATAGGGCCGGAACATACAGGATCAGAAAATAAATTCCCCATCCGGTCTGGGCTTTTCCTTGAACTGAGCATTCAGCCTAGCTTCCAAGAAATGGTACCCAGCGATCCTTGCATCTCTCCTTCACAGAGGGCAGTGCTGACAATTGGGTTTTTGTACTAACAACAAATCCAAATAAAGTTCCAGCCATTGTTGCTGCAAGGAGCCATGTAGCTAGGCAACACTAACATCACAGTCATCTGTGATTAGTGTATTTCGAGGGCGCCCTATGCGCCCCACAAGCAGAACATCTTCTCCAGGTCCCAAAATGTGAGGAATCGATTTCATGCTGAGGAGAAGTTTATTTACATAGTTCACCCCATTTGCTAAGTTAGGAGATGAACACACAACCTAATAATTGACTGAAAGGAAAGTTACCTTGTAGATCCCAAAGAACCCCAGGTCCCTTACGACAGACAGGGCACTGACTCGGGGACCAGTGGTGATCTCTCCAGCTACCTGCAAACGGATCTTGACGATTTCCAAAGGATTCGTGAAAATCACCTGGGAGCCTCCTGCCTAAAAGAGAGAACAAGTAAAGATTTAGGACCAGAGAAGGGTCAGGGTAAGGTGGGTTAGGAAGAGGGGAGGGATTGTCCTCCGTGGAGCACATAGTATTCTATCCTCAAGAGACTGTGGTTTCAGTCTTTGTGCCATCAATGAAGACAGTGATGAGTCTGAATCAAAACACAGTTACTGCCAAGGAGGCTTTGGTACGTAGGTCCTACTTCCCTCACGCAGAGGCTAAAAGAGGGAAAAGGGCAGAGACACATGATGTCTCCTGGCCTCACCAAAGTCCTCAGGTGGAAATGACAAAGATTCCCTGAAGCACAAACAGCGGCCATCACAGGGCTCAAAGCCAAGGGCACAAAGGCAACAATAAAATGAAAATCAAATAGTATCCAAATAAAGAGACACTGACCTGCTTGTCAGAATAGGAGGAGACAGGGCAGACACAGGTTCTCCCATGATGGGCCTCATGATTCTGGCAATGACTGAAGAATTGCCAGAGAACGTGTAAACTTAGATGAAAGCTATTTTTTTCTTCTCTTAAAAAATCAGGTCCATCATCAAACACCATTTTATGGAGTCACATATTCTTATAATTTTATTTATGTATTACCTGTGTATAGATTACTCTTTTCATATAAGATATGTCCAAGTAGTAAAAACATGCATTAAGTCAATTACAGCCCAAACTTTGAGCAAAGTGTGTTATTTCATTCCAGCAGTGGCTGGGTGCCTCACCTCCGAGATCATCAGTGGAAATCTTTAAAGTGTACTATAAGGGAAATTTTAAGCTAGTTATTTTGAAGCTAAGCCTATATTTATTATAAGCAATTACATTCTTTCCCACTGTACTTCGACTTGTTATTCCTTGTCACAAATACATTAAATTTTTATTTCACCCACACTAAGTTTGATGCAGAGTATAGTTCAGAATCTTTATTACATAGTGATGTTACCACACTAGACCACAGACACGGTGCTGATATTTTATAGCTCAGTTGGTGCCATCATGGTAACAAGCATAATTTGGACTAATATTATACATAACTACTTCTTGCTAGATTCTCTGACACCATTAACCAATGTATGTGCCCTCACAAAAGGGCCAGTACTAATCAACACTGGCTACAAAGACGATCTTGGAAGTATAATTTATAATACTTGGAAATAAAAATTAGACACAACGTAAATATCCAATGGTCAGGGGTGGATTAAATGAATTTAAGTATGTCATGCAATGAGACACTATGCTGCCAATAAAAATACTGTGGGAAATGTTCAATACATATACTGGGAAGTAAAAACCCTCACGTTTAAATGCATGTACCGCTTTCCCCCCTATTATCCCTTACTATCGTGTAGAGAATATACCAGTATAGTGCTTTTGAGATGGTAGGATTACCAGTGGTTTATTTTCTTTTCTGCTGTATTTTGTATTTCTTCTACATAGATCATCTATTACTTCTATAAAGAAAAACAAATACCTCTGCATAACTTATCTGATATCCATAGCCATATTAGCCAAAAAAAGCAAAGAAATCTGTTCACCCATCAATTCTCTATAAATCAAATTGCTTTTCCGCCTTTACCAACTTGGCATCTTAACCAAGACACACTTGTTCTTAAAAACAGACCAAGCTTTCCCCTCTCTCCACACATTACAACTGTCCTGAAGGCAGCAATATTGTCCAGTGTCTTGGCTGCCACATAGGCCACCCCTCCTCACTTACTTGTCTCACCCATCACCTTCGGCTCTCCTAGGTAACTCTCAGGAGGCAGGCCAATCTTGGTAGGAGAAGACCGAGGATGGATTCACCAAAAGGCCCCAGAAAGGCCCTGGGAAAGTGGGAAGGAGAGCATGGGGCGACATGCCCAGAGGCCGGTGTGTTCCTCTGGTCCATACACATCGCTCTTCTCTTTGGCTCAGAAGACCCACGCTTTGCTCCCACACTGCTGTGACCTGAAGGGAGGCGGGAGGACCAACCCACAGCCTGCCTATAGCCCTTCAGGATTTTGTGGGCTCGCACCTGCATCATTCCACATGACACAAAGGGAGTTAAGCTTGGCAGAAGGAAGACAGGCAATGGACCTGGCCGAGTAACAGCACCAATGGCACAGTGAGAATTATGGTTGTGCTTCTTGACCCCAAGCTCTTGAGTTGCAAAAACGAACAGAAATTTATTTTAAAATCACGTATGGGGGCAGAACTGCTGAGAAAGATTTGCGGAGTTGTAATTAGTCTGAGGCTGATTTTTAAAAGCTCAGAAGTGGGCGAGAGCATCTCTATCAAGGGCAGAATGGAAAGCGGTCTGCGTACACTGATCTTGAAGAGCAGCAGAGGAACACAAAGCAGACTCACCATGCACTGCCAACAGTGGGTGGGGAGGCAGCTAAGCACCCCGTGTGCAGACCGAGCCCCAGTCCCTATGTGTCAAACCACCTGACTTCGTATGAGGCTCGAGGAGATGGCAAACGGACCGCAGCAGTGACTCCAAACAGGATTCTTTTCCCGTCTCCTGAAGTGATGGTTCTCCTCCCTGGCTGCATGTTACAGTCCCTTGCAGGGCTTTGAAAAGTAGTGACTTCTAAATCCTACTCCAGACAAATAAGAAATTCTGCAACCACCCTTTCAACAACGGTTCCTACGTGATTAAGATGTGCAGTGAGAGCTGAGGGTCGCCTGACTTCACTGCATCGGCCGCCACGATCCCTTTGAACTCTGAGAGGCTGCTTGACAGGCTTCCTTACAGCTGGGATTTCTATTTCCAGTTTTCCACTTTCTTTCAGAGAGCAACTTTTATGTTTTACATGTGATCTCACAACAAACTTCTTATACAGCTCCAGGTGGTGCCACTGGTAAAGGTACAATTCTTAGGTACAGAATTGCTGTCTTACTCGTCCTCTTGCATCTGCACTAACACTTGTCAAAGTTCATGTTACATACAAAATAAGAACTTAATACTCAATGCCCTGACTCCAAGCCAATCGATAGTTACCGATTCTTTTAGCACTGCAGAGTGAATTCTAATCCCTAGGGACAATGTGAAAGTCAAATCCACTTCAGACAGCTGCAGGGAACACAGTGGGAAGAGAGGGTAAGGATACTGAGAAATTGATGGGCTCCTTGCCTCGGGTGGGCTCAGAAAAAAAGAGCTGACAGACTCAAAGTGGCAAATTGTAGAGGTTCTGAAGATGAATCGGTCCTTTGGAGTCAAGCTAGGAGGAAATGAGAGACTCCGAGGCACCGAGAGACGATGCTTATCATCAGATGCACAGTGTCTGGGCATCGCCACGACTTGATCACTGAGCGGCACACTGGCCGAGGCGCTCCCGGCTCCCAACCTATTGTCCATTCACAGTGCCTTACCCCATCTCTGCCCTGGGAAATCAGAGACAGCGGGCTCCGCGGGCCCACCAACAGGAACACCTATTGTGTATGATGGCTTTGTGTCCCTCATCACTTGAGAGACCTGGCTGTGTGAAGACGCTGTTGTGTGTGCGTGTGGAATTCGGTCACAAATCATTTCCCTGGAACCTTCTGGAGTCTGTGGCAAGTAGGACAGGCGAAGATTTTCTACACTAGGACTGGCTCTGTGTGGCACATCATCTTTACAGTGAGCACACTGACTTGTCTACAGGTTTCCTGGTATGTTCCTTCTCACTGAAATCGTAGTTGCTACCCAGCATCTGGATCCATCTAAAGACAAACAAACACATGTACTTACAGCAGACACACTTCTGCTACCTGATCATTCATTCATGTCATAAAAATTCACCACATATTTAGAAGTAATCGAGCTCACGGTCTGTCCTGAGAACACCAAGGACATGAGGCGAGTGAGAAAGCGTTCCTGTTCTCAAGGACCTTGAGATAGGAGCGAAGTAATAAATACTCATGAAGCACCCATTACTGGCTACTGGGCTATTCCTTTGCATGGATTACCTATCTTTAGCCCTCTCAGAGGTATTTTTTCCAGATTTTACAGAAGAGAAAATTGAGGCATAACACATTAAAGAAACTGTTACGGGCTGAACTGTGTCCAACGAAATTCATACACTGAAGTAAGTCTGCACCCTCAGCACCTCAGAGGGTGACGTATTTAGGGACAGGGCCTTTACAAAGGTGGTCAGAGGAAGAAAAGGTCATATGGGTGGGCCCTCCTCCAATGTAACTGCTGTCCTACTGAGATATGGACACAAATGTGCACACAGAAAAGACCACGTGAGTGCACGGCGAGAAGGCAGCCACCATCAAGCCAAGGAGAGAGGCTTCAGAAGAAACCAACCCTGCCAACACCAGCTTGGACTTCCAGCTTTCAGGGATGTGAGAAAATAAATTCATGTTGTTTAAGTCACCCAGTCTGTGGTATTCTGTTACGGCAGCGCTAGCAAGCTAATACAGCACTTACACAGGGCTACACAGACAGCAAGCAAAGGATTTTCCACTAGGCCCAATAAATATATGCCTTATGAATAGGAAAAAATGGCACATGGGAAAAGGCAATTATAATATACACAAGGTAAGGTCCAGACAAATTGCCATGGCAATTCGAACGAGAGCAAGATTTCTGCTGGCTGGGATAATGTGGGGAAGTGGGAAGGCATGTAAGAAAATAACACATCAGCGGGTGACTGCGTACAATTAGGATTTAGCTGATCCAGGTGGAGAATGGCACGAAGGCACAGTGACAGGGGCCTGCCACACTTACAGGGTAAAGAGACCCAGCACCACATCTGTCCTGTAAAATTTTAATAAGAAGGATCATTATGATGAGATCAACATTATCATCCACTGGTATTTATTTGGGTGCTAACCACATACCAGGCATTATGCTAAGAACTTTGTAAGAATTTTCCCTTTTGGTCCTCATCATATAAGGTGGGTAATATTCTTCCAGTTTTATAAGTGAGCAAAGCGAGCCCGAATGGGTGAAAGAGCTCATGTAACCTGCCCGAGATCACAAAGCTGAGAAAGGGGCACCTGGATAAAGAGCTGACCTGCCGGAGGC